TCAAGCCAGACATGACCAGCCCTTGGAGGCCACATCTCGGGTTACGGGAAGAATTGCAGACGGGGGTTCTCAGCGAGACCAGCGCGTTCCCCGTGGTGACCCCAGACATCAGCAGGTTAGGCGCTGCCCCAAGGCCTTCGGAGGAGCTCCACATCATGGCCCTCGAGAAATACCCCGAGGCCCCCGAGGCCCACCACCCCGTGGCGAAGGAGCGCGCCAATTCCGATTTGACGCACCGTCTTGCCGCGCTGTCGCAGGCCCTGGAGCGGTGGCGTTCGGTCCCCGACAGCAAGGGCGAGCCCAGTCGCGCCCGGCCCTTCCGCTTGGAGGAGAAAGCCGCCTTCCTGCCCAACCCTCCCGAACCAGGGGGGCTGAGAGCCGGCGGCGGAGTGCCATCCAACAACGGGTCCGAGAACGAGACCTAGCACGTAAGCGGGACCCCAGCGGGCCCAACTACAGAAGGCTCCAGAGGCTCATAGAGAAGGGCCTCAACGACCTCGATTGGGGCTCCGACCTCGCCACAGCAGAGCAGGACAGTCTTAGGGGCGCCCTATGTACGCGGTCAGGTCAGCCTTTGAATTGCCGCGACCTGCTCGAGAGGCAGACGCAGTTTTCGAGGTTCGCGCGCCGCAGCAGGCGCAGCGTGGATTTGCCGACCGGTTGGGGGCCAGCCCACGGAAGGGCGGTGGCGCCGTGCGCGCTGTCACGAGAGAGGTGGAGGTAGAGGTTACCCCCGAGGAGGCCGATCACTTCACCTTGAAGGAGGAGGTCCTCACCAATCCAGTCGACATCCTCGGGGCCAAATGCAAGTTTTGGGAGAAGTACTGGGGCCCCCGCAAGATCTCCGCAGGGGCGCCGATCTCAGAGGCCTGGATCCAGGAGCTTAGGGAGGAGGCGATGGAGGCCAAAGCCCAGGAGACCAATTGGGCGGAGGAGGAGATAGTCCATGCCATCAGGACCTTCCTCGCCCTACAGGTTGCTCATGCGGATGAGGAGGGGGGGGGGGGGGGGGCTGGCAAGTGGGAGGTCGCCAAGGCAGGACATTGGGACGCAGCAATCAAAGGGCCCAGTTGTCTGCGCGCGAGGATCATCTCCGAACTTTTTGTAGAGGTCAGTTCCGAGCTCCAGATCAAGATAGTAGAGGGACTCCTGGATATAGAAGATCTATGATACCATCAACACCCCAACCCTAGCACGGAAATCAAAAGACATGGGATACCCCGTCATTTGCCTCAGTCTCGGGATCATGACCCACCTTGCCGTGCGCTACCTCACGACAGAGGTGGTGGTCAGCCGCGCGATCGTTCCTCAGCGTAGCAGTTTGGCAAGTTGCGGGCAGAGCGCCGCGTGGACGAGAGTTCTTCTGCACGGCCTTCTCCACCAGGCACGCCGCTGCTTCCCTCGCTTAACCATCGGGACCTGGGTCGGCGACTTGCGCGCCCGCACGGTCGGCCCCAGCAGGTCCTTGCTCGCCGATCTCCCAGGGGCCAGGAACTTCAGCAAAATGAGATCGTCGCTCGCCCACGCGGCTGCCCGAGCGCCCCGGTCGCGCAGCCATGCGCGCTCTTCCCGGGCCCCCCCCCCCCATCGGGCGGCGAAATCCCAGACCCCCGACGTAATGTTTTTTCATTTACGTCGACCTCCAGAGGTCCCGACCCTTTCCCCATGACCGGCTTTGCATCCTGAGTCGTTTTTTGGCGCTCCCGAAGCCCGGTGAGGGCCGCCGGAGGCCGAAAATTAAGAAAAACCTCCCGTCATGATTTTTTCATTACTCGAGGGGGTCTGGGTCGGGCGGCGAAATCCCAGCCCGCGCGGGGGCCGGCCCGCGCCCGACGGCGGCTCGGACCTCCCGGCCGCGCGACGCCGACGGTGGCCGCCGAGCGGCCGGCGGCGCAGCCTCCGGCGGCGGCGGCGGCCCGGGCGCGCGCCTCTCCGCCCGGGGCCCCGGGAGGCACGGCCGCCCTGCGGAGGGCGGGCTCCGCGGCGGCGCCGACGCCCGCGCGCGCGGCGGCTGCCAGATTGGAAATCGACGCCCGGGCCGAGCCATTCGGCTGCACGTAGGAGCGACTTCTGGGCAGGAGTGGCCTCCGGTGCGCGGGCCTTTTGGGGGGGCGCGAGGAGGCCCAACGCAGGCGCGCGAGACGCTAGTATCGCAACGAGCGCGGCGATCGGGGGACCCCCGTGCGCGCGCACCAAAGGTCACTCCGGCGAAGGGTACCTCTTACGTCTAGTCGAACCATAGCTGCGCCCATCTTGAGCCAAGAGGGAGCGGCCTCCGCTATTAGGAAATAGCTGACCAGCATAACGCAGAGGAGCGTGTAGATAGTGATTGCGGCTGGTACGATCTGCCTCGGCACTGCCAATCTGCCGATCTGCCATGACCTGCCGGGCCTCGGCCCTGCTGGCGGCGAGCCTGGCGTCTACGGCCGCGGTCTCCAGGTCGGGATCGCTCGGGGGGCCGATGTACCCTGCAATTCCGCAGTGTTGCCTGCTGCTGGGGCTCCGTCGGGGCCCCTGCGCCGCTTTGACGCATGCGCTTGGCCACGCGAAGGGCTTCGGCCCGAAGGGGGTGATCTGCTGGCAGGTGGGGCCGAGCACCTCGGCGACCCGTGGTGTGGACAGCTTCGGCGAACGGCTCCTCTCTGACGCGTGCCCATTTCTTGTTTTTCAGCGTCACGCAGCCCCAGAACTCCGATGTCGAACAACGGACCCTCGACGATAGCGGGCTTCTGGGTTGTGATGCCCGCTGACTTGGGAGGGGGTGTCGCTGTCGCTTGCGACGTCGCGGGGCCCGCATGCTTGGCGCAGGCTGCCTTCCACTCCACTCCTGGGTTGCGGCAGGCGCCTCCTCCACAGCCTTGCGCTCTGCTTCGCGGGCTTCAGCCGGCCACTCCTCAGCCTCCGAGGTCTTGAGCACGCGCAGAAGTATTATTGCGCACGTCGGCGGGCGACCCCCCTTGTTGCGCACCTCCTCCTCGAAGAGCGGGGCCCTGGAGGGTGAAGGGGCAGGCTCCTGGGCGGCCTTGACAGCTGTCTCGACCAGCGCGGGGAGCTCCTGCTGACTGTCGCCGACTTAAGCCCGTAAAACGTCCACGGGGTCTGGCTCCCTGGTGGTGTCCTTGGCGTACCATCCTGCCTTGTAGGCCCAACGCTGGTCGGCTGGCGCAGCCTTCGCCTTGGCCTCCGGCGCGGGAGGGCGCCCTGGGCCCTAGGTGCACTCGGCCGCGCCCTTGCCCTCTCCCTGGGTGCCGCGGGCCCCGTTGCGCGACAGGCGGCAACGCCGGAGGGAGCGAAGGCGGCCCGAACGCCCACTCCCCTGTCCTCTTGGCCTGCGGCTGACGTTCGGCTTCGGCACCGCGGGGCTGGTCGGTCGTTGAGTTCCGACCGCCCTGAGCTGAGTGCGGTGAACAAGAACTGCTTGCGCTTGGCCGCCCCCCTGCCGCCAAGTTGCGAGCTGTTCTGTCCGCTGCGCTGGTCCCACCGCTCCAACGCAGCAGCACGCAGATACACCGCCCAGGCAGAGCCCGTGGACATAGCGGACTGCCCATGGTGAGGGGACAGGGCGAACTGACCCTTGGGAAACGAGAACAGGCCGCGGACCAGCAGTGCCGACTTTGTCCACGGAGAACAACACGACCTAGAGCCAACATGGCTACGGAGAGGGAGGGGGATGAGGAGGACGAGGAGCAGGAGGAGGAGGAGGAGGAGGAGGAAGGAGGAGGAAAGAGGGGGACGAGGAAAGAGGAGGACCAATGTAAACCCAAGAGTCATCAACGAAATTTGAATAAACCCTCCCTCCAAGCTCCCCCTTCACAGGCCCCTACAATGGTTCATTGCCATTGAGGGAAGTGCCTCGTTGGAAGACAACCGTTTGGAAACCAATTGCTTGTGGACGATCCTGAATCGTGCCAGAACGCCATTCCTGGGACTTCAACACAGCAAATCAACGTAACTGTTGCGCCCGCGTAATCCTGAATCTCTTCAAAGCACAATGTCTGATACGTTGATGATGGGAATCCGTGAAGCTCCTGCAAGCGTTGCAAACGAATGTGCGCCGCGCTAAAGCGAGAGACACATGTTGAAAACCACGAAACTCTTGCGAACATTCCAAAAGAATGTGCGCAGCGCTAAGGCGAGAGCCACATTTCGAAAAGGCACCGCCCTCAATCCGTGAAGCTCCTGCAAACGTTTAAATCGAATGCTCGCGCGGCTAGAGCGAAAACCACATGTTGAAAACGACCCGCCCTCAATCCGCGGAGAAGCGCGGCGCTACAACGAGAACAACATTCCGAAAACCACCCGCTCTAAATCCGTGAAGCTCTTGCGAATCTTAAAACGAATGTGCGCCGCGCTGAAGCGAAAACAACATGTTGGAAACCACCCGCCCTCAATCCGTGAAGCCCTTGAAATGTTTCAAATGAATGTGCGCCGCGCTAAAGCGAGAGTCACATTTTGAAAACCACCCGCTTTCCATCTGTGAAACTGCTGCCACCATTTAAGCTTCAGTCTTAAATGGTAAGAACGTATCTGGCGAAACGCCGGGCCCGCCCTAAAAACTTGCCTCGGGAGGCGGCAGTGAAAAACATGAAAACGAATGGAGGAGGAGGGGGAGGAGGAGGAGGAGGAGGAGCAGGAAGAGGAGGAGCAGGAGGAAGAGGAGGAGGAGGAGGAGGGGGAGGAGGAGGAGGAGGAGGAGGAGGAGGAGGAGGAGGAGGAGAGGAGGAGGAGAGGAGGAGGAGAAGGAGGAGGAGGAGGAGGAGGAGGGAGGAGGAGGGAGGAGGAGGAGGAGGAGGGGGGGGAGGAGGACGAGGAGGGAGGAGGAGGAGGAGGAGGAGGAGAGGAAGAGGAGGAGGAGGAACAGCAGGAGGAGGAGGAGGAAAAGGAGGAGGGAAGAGAAGGAAGGAGGAGGAGGAGGAGGAGAACAGGAGGAGATGAGGAGGGAGAGGAAGGGGCGGCGGAGGCTCATGCTGGCGGGTGGAGTGGGATGGGGGCCCCGTGGCCTCTGCCTCCTCGGCGTCCCACACCCTCGGCGCGCTGCGGAGCGAGACCCTGGCGGCCGCGGTCGCGGCAGAGGCGTCCTGAGAGGGGGGGGGGGGGGGGGGGGCAGGAGGAAGGCGGGGCGACGAGGAGGGGAGCCCAGACCACCTCGAGTCAGCGGCCAACGAGTCGCGCGACGGGAGGTGCTCGGCCGAGGTCGGCCTCCGGGGGGGGCTCTCGCCAGGCCCTGGGCCCGCGACAAAGACTGCCCGGGATGGAGAGCAGGTCCCGGGGAAGGCGTCGAGACCTACCTCCTGGGGCCCGCGCTCTCTGGGCAAGATCGCGACGTCGAGGGCCTAGGAAGGAGGATGAGGAAGGATAGAAGGATGGAGAAGGGAGGGAGGGGGAGCAGGAAGGAAGGAAGGAAGGAGGGAGGAGGGTGGAGGAGGGAGGAGGGAGGGAGGGGGGAGGAAGGGGAAGAGGATGGAGGGAGGGAGGATGGAGGGAGGGTGGAGCCATGGATGGAGGAGGCGAAGGAGGAGGAAGAGGAAGAAACGGCTCAAGGGCAAGCCATCGCCACAGGGTGCCGAACCTTCCCAAGCAGCAGAGAGCATGCCATTCTAGGTTCGACACTCGCTCGTGAAGTCAGAGTTGCGCTGCTGCAGCCGAGTCGTGACGCTGGTTCCTGCCAGGCGGAACGGCATGCTCGTCGCACCGCCCGTCTCCTTCGAGGCTGACCGAGACAAGCTGCTGCCCTGCGCTGTGCCGCGGTGCTCGACGTCCACCACGCAGGAAGAAACATCGTGCTGGTGTTAGGGCGCCGTGCTGCTGGCGGCGACATGTTCGTCACCCTCCCTGGCTGCCGGTCCCGAAGCGGTCTGAGCCGCGGTGCTCCACTCCGTCGAGCCGTGATGCTCGAGGTCCCGGCCCCGGAAGGGTCTCCCTCAGTGGTTCCCTCGGCGTTCCCCCAGGTGGAGGAGTACCCATGACGCGACGGCACACACCCTTCATCCATGTCGATAGAACAGAAGTCCCCCCTTGATAGGGGGGTTGGGGGGGGGACACCCTAAACTCCAAAAGGCTCTACTGTGGGTGATCGGGGCGGGAAGGCAAGTTCGGAGCGCGCACGGCCTGGGCAGCGATCCCTCCAACAATCTCGATGAGGGGGGGGATCGCAGTCGGCAGCGGGCCGAACACGCAGCCCACCAGCGTGACCGCAGGATCGCTCGACGTGTCGCGGCACGGACGCTCCCAAGGGGCAACGGGGCGGCGGCGACCCGCCGCAGGGCGTCTTCGCGCCGCGTCCAATGTTGTAGCGTTACCCACTTGCGGCAGTCACGCACCCGTGCTAGCGGGCACGTTCTGTGACCACTCTCGGGAGCCCTCGGGGGGAGCCCTCGGAAGCCCGACTGGTGTGACCCCGTTTTGGCCGCATGACCCAACGGGGCTGAGTGATCCCGTGTTGGCCATGACCGCCGATCCACTACAGAACCCGAGTGACGCGAACAGCATGGACGGCGCCATGTGGCAGTTCGCGCGCCCTTCTTGAAGCTAAGGAGAGCTTGGCTAGAGGCGTCGAGCGGTGCTGTTCTGGTGCGCCTGTGCCTTGGCGAAGCCACAACCGCCATTGAGGCCGTGCCACCGACGGGCGTCGGAGCCCCGCCTGAGCAGGCCGCAAAAGGGGCCCGCCTGCTGCAGGTCGCAATAGCTAGGCGCTCTGCAGCTCGCTGGCTAGTCGAGGAGGCGCCCTGCAGAGGTCGCAACTTGCCAAGGTGGCTGCAGAGCCGTGGCGATCCGACAGCATGGCGGCGGAGGCCCCCCCGCAGCGCAGCACCCCTGCGAGTTCGCTGTGGGGTGCTCGGCGGCCGCAGCAAGTCGGGAAGCAAGCTCTGCAAGTGCCTGGCGCGCGTCGGCCTGCCCGCGGTTCCTGCTCGTCTGCGTAGTCCTTGCTGTACCGAGACCTCTGGTGTCTTGGTTCCCTGAGCAGTTTGTCTGCAGGGGTCATCGCACTCCCCCAACGGAGTTTGCACTTGGGGGTTCTGACATGCTTCACTCGTGAACATGGTTCTGATGACATGTACCACGAAACTTACAACACAGCTTGCATCATACAGCTTGCACCTCCTAGTGCTTCCACCACGCCCCTCACACCACGCAGCGTGCACACCACGTTGATCGCACCACGTGGCCGACACCACACAGCTTGCACCATAGAGTTAGCATGCACCACATAACTCGCACACCCACAGCGCAACAGCCTACACCTCACTCGGGAATGGGCCCGGTGCGTCGAGGAATTCCCACGGTGCCGCCCGTGGCCGCCTCGTGGCCGCCTCGTGCGCTGGGCGTGTCCGGCGAGGGCACGCCACATGTTGCCGCCCGTGGCCGCGCCGTGGCCGCCCCGTCGGCCTCGTGGCCGCCTCGTGGCCGCCTCGTGCGCTGGGCGGGTCCGGCGAGGGCACGCCACATGTTGCC